ATCTTGATATTATAGTGATATATAGACCGCCTCACACAAACAAACAACTGTTTGTAAAAGAACTGGAACGAGTAATTCAACGAGTGCCGATTAATCGGGATATAATCATGTTCGGTGATTACAATATTGACATTTTAGAAGATAAATTGGACCATATCGCTTGTAGTTATCTTAATATGTTGTCATCACGAGGATTACAGTGTGGAATTCAAGATATAACCCGCGAGGCAGTGAGTGGGGAGCGACGGACAGCCACTTGCATCGATCATGTGTTCGTAAGAACTGAGAGCGCGTCAGAGGTGCAAGCGTATTTACTTACGAGTCCAATAGCAGATCATTACCTAACGGGACTCACCGCTGTTATAGGTAAGCGTATGCCGCAAAATGTATGCAAAACAATATTGAATAACAAAGCGATTGAGAAGAAGTTAGGTGAACAAAATTGGAATGAGCTTTTAAATTATGATGACCCTATCAGTTTATATAGTAGAATCAAAACAATTTTTTGTAATATATATGACTCAGCACAAATAAAAATACAGTTAAAAAAAAGGGAAAATCAACCCTGGGTTAGTAAGTTGTTATTAAATATGATTGAAATTAAAGACAGTTTGTTCAGAAAGTGGAAATCAAATCCTAGTAATAATAATTTTAGATTAGAGTATACTAGATACAGAAATAAAGTACAAAAGTTAATAAATAAAGCCAAAAATGATTATAAGAAAAAAGAAATAGTTAATTGTAATGGGGATATGCGCAAAATTTGGGGAAAAATAAACCAGTGGCTCGGGAAAAATAAAACATCAGTTGATACCATTATTGAAAGATATATGAAAAATGAAAAATCTATGAAAACAATCTGTAATAAGTTTTGTGAAACGTTTACTGACGAAATTGATAATATTAAACACAAGTGTAACCAAACCTTTTTGAAGAGAAAAGAATACATAGACGAGTGCAATGTGAGCTTCCGATATAAAATGGTATCAGCTGATGATGTGACTAAAGTTATAGACAAACTAAGCTGCAATAAGTCATCGGGGTCAGATCGAATTAGAGTTCAGGATTTAAAATTTATTAAAAAAGTCATTAGTCCTATCATAGCGAATTTTATTAATATGTGTATTAAAAAAAGTGTTTACCCAGAAGAACTAAAAAAAGCGATAATTAGACCTATCTATAAGCAGGGATCGCATCAAGAATATACAAACTATAGACCCATCGCCATACTTAATGTAATCAATAAAATTACCGAAAAAATTGTTGTCAAACAAATTTCAGATTTTTTAGAAAATAATGATGTTATTACAGATTTACAATACGGATTTAGGCCAAAGAGAAGCACAGACATGGCCTTAGCTAAATTTACAGACGGCGTGAATAACGCTCTTAATGACCAAAACCTAGTAGGTGTTATTTTTATCGATTTTAAAAAAGCTTTTGACACACTAGACCACGATGGCTTGTTGCAGTCTATGGATGAGTGCGGCATTCGAGGACCCACAAACTTATGGTTCCGCAACTATTTAAAAGACAGAACGTTAGAAGTCCGCATTAGCGAAACTAGTAGTGACTTAGGTAAAATCAAATATGGAGTCCCAACCGGCTCAGTATTCGGTCCAGTAGGGTACATCATTCATGTAAATGGAATGAGCAAAGTAGTACAATCATGTGAAATGTATATGTATGCCGATGATACTTGCCTAATGTACTCGTACAAAAATCCAGAAACGATACAAATAGTTATGCAAAAAGACTTAGACAACATTGTTAAATGGGCGCATGATAATGGTATTGTAATTAATATAAGCAAAACTAAATTTATGTTAATATCTTCGCCATACAACCGACAAAAACATGCCGAAATTGTAATTAAAGGACATACCTACGATTGTCTCCACAGAAATAGCAATGTAAATAACTGTAAATGTCTGAAGTTAGAACAAGTCGCATGCTACAAATACCTAGGACTAACTATAGATACCAGTTTTGTATGGAGTATACATGTTCAGCAAATCTGTAACAAATTACGTAGTGTGTTGGGTAAATTGTACCACCTGAAATTTAGCCTAAGCAGAAGTATGTTACATATGCTGTACTATGCGCTTGCGGATACAACTATAGATTACGGGTTGGGCAGCTATGGACTTACGTTCCCAGTGTATTTAAATAAAATCAAAGAACTACAAACAAGGTTGATAAAGATACTAGTAAACAATAAAGTGAAAATTGCGTGTAATAAAGAATATGATAAACTTTTCAAAATTTGTAAAATTTTACCTGTAGAGAAAAAAGTGAAAATAAAGTTATTAATGGAACAGTATAATAAAAATGAGTTTAAAGTAGAAAGAGAATATGGCTACCCAACTCGCCAATCCACTAGAAAAGGAAAATATGTAGTACCTAAAATTAAAAATTACTTCGGTATGCGCACGAGACGATGGGTTATCCCGCAATTACATAACGAGCTGCCGCCGGACTTGCTTAGTAAAGTTACATCAAAAAATCATTTAAAAAATATTCTAAGAAAACATTATCTATCATTGTGTCCATAAAGATACGCCACAGGCCACGAGTAACGTACTGTTAAAATTAGCAGACTATATGCGATGTGTGCTGTCTGAGTATGTGTTTAATTAGTGTATATGTGTATATGGTGCGTATATATAAAAAAACAATTCAAAAAATAATGAACCCATTTTGATATTTAAATGTTGTGGACCTCATAACAAACTTTGTACTAAATATGTATAAATAAAATAATAAAATAGATGTTTGGAGATATTAGTATATGTATAAGAAAGTATACTTCAGATTATATGTATAAACATAAGCATGTAAGAAGAGAACTACTGCCGACAAACTGTAATGCAGTTTGGCAGATGAAAATGTTAAAAACGTTTATTGTATAATTGGAAGTAAATAAATTAAAAAAAAATTAAAAAATTCTTTCTGAAAGGATGATACCGACTCCCTGGCATGCCCGCTCGGTCTCGTCTACACCAGACCAGTACGCGGTATACATGCCATCTGTAGTGGCATCCTTTCCCTTCCGTTTCGTCTCATTCACACATAACACGCCTATTCCTCTATCATACATCATATCGCATACTTCATCCATCTTATCATTCATTCCTCCACATACATTCAATGTAGCCAGATGGGCTTCCGCAATCCACTTTTCGCCTTGAGGGTTCTTGCCTTTGCGATACGGTCCTCAATTCTTTTTCTCCAGGCTGGTATGGTGCTACTTTGTGTAGTAGCACGTCCAGCTGTGGAGAGATTGGCGCCAATAACACGGCATGCTGCCAGTGCGGCGCCAAAAAGAATTGAGTCAGTCTCGCAAAGGTCCCGGCTGGCTTCCAAATAGGTCACCAGCATTGGGTTTAGAGCCTTCACGACAGCCCGATTGCGTTTGCTAAGCGGTATGCGGGGAAGTCGCGGTCGATTCACGAGAAGTTTACTTCGCGTTACCCTTATCGCCTCTTCCAATATGCTCCTCATTTGCTCATGTTCCTGGGCGACTATTCCATCATCGTCTGAGTCAACCACAAGAAGATCTACGGTGGCATCTACGTGTGCGGTTTGCTCTGCAACTCGTAGAGCCGCATCTTCTGTCGTAGTATTTGCATCTGACGAGGGAACAGCTTCACGTCGTAGGCGTTCGAGTTCGGCGTCGTCAAATATTTTTGAGCGCATGATGTACTGAATTCGGTCTGCCAGGTTTTGCTCGTAATGCGTTCAGCAAACAGGCGATGCATCCTAGCCCGGTACGCAAAACCTTCAACTTCTCCCCCTTTCGCCCTAAAATACTCCCGCAATGCGTTCTTATTCATTTCAATTGTCCATCGCATACGGTGTACTCCACCAGTGGCGGATGCCGTTTGCTGAGTCCGGGAGGACCCTGCCGACACCAAGCCATCTGGTGGGGTTGTTGGATGCAAGGGGCTACGAGGTGGTCGTACAGCCCCTCGAGCTCGGCTGGCGGCATGCATGCTGTCGAGTCCAGCGCCAGCTCCAAACGCGCCCCGGCGCCCGCCAGGCAGAGGCCCCATGCGCATTTCTCTTTGTGCCATCATCCATTTTATAGGCGTCAGTTAACGGGAGACGCCCAGACCTGGCGCCGTTTCATGATGGGGCAATATCCATACACGGGCCTTTGCACCCTCAATTTTGCCGAGGCCTGGCGCTAACACCGCTTGGCAGGGCGCTGATTGACTGCGCTGACGTAGCAGCACTTCCTTACGCCATTACACTTTATTATTATTATTAAGTCTATTAGGCACAGAAACTCCAAGCTGACCTCTCCATATTTAGCGGAGCGACCTCAAGCTTCCTTATACGGCCAGCAGTAAAGGACCATCTCTCAGAACTATATGTCATCAGTGGCAACATGCACTTGTATTTACAATCTTGTTTTCAAGTTTTGTGGTATACATGAAGAAATGTGTCGTAATCTTTTCAACGCTGCTAATTATAATTGGCATTATGCGTATATATCTACCGTTGTAATCAGTCCACCATTGTATCTCAAGTTTCTAGAACAAAGAGTAATAATAATTTATGTAGAAATTAGTGAGAAAATATTGCTACATTCGTTTTTCCATTAATTATACTCATAGAATTTTTTATTATAGTATAAATTACATGATAATGTTAATAAGTTTTTTATGAGAAGTATAGACAATGATGTATTTTTGATCTTTCAACTTCTTTTTATACTAAATGTTTACTGCCTTTTTTCATGTTATAACTTATTAGTTAAATTAGTTCCATGTTTTTTTTTCGTTATGTGGTGGTCCCACCCAACTTAGGTACATCTTAATACAATATAATACAATGGATTAATGTATCTTTTTTAACAAACCATGTAATAATAATCAATTTATTATTATTATTATTATTTATTAGGTTTATTTTTTATTTTATTTATTTTTTAAAGAAAAAAGTAATTTTTGTGGGTAAATTGTTACTCTAAAATACTGTTATAACTTTTCCAGGTACCTAATGCGCGAATCGGACTGCAACACAATTTGGGCCTTGGGGGTGCCGTCGTAGTGGCCATTTACCGCAAAGGCTTCGACAGTGTCGCATCCAAACAGATCAGCACTATCACTGATAATCCTGAAAGTTTCAAAGTGTACAAGTATATAAAGATTCTAGAAGAAGTGTTGAAAACTATGAACGAAGATCTCATTGACAAAGTCCGAGGCGTCTACGGAATAAAAGTGCACAATGGTCCCAACGGGGCTCAAGGTTATTGGATAATAAATACTAAAGTGGGCAAAGGAAAGATCACATACAAAAGCAATGAAAAACCTGAGGTGATTTTAACTGGTAGTGATCAAGATATTGCAGACATTGTTTCTGGTAAAATGGATTGCCAGAAGGCATACTTGCGAGGTATTCTCAGTGTTCAAGGCAACATGACCTTAGCCAAGAAGCTGCAGAAACTACTAGCGGGTACAATGAAATTGGTCCGCGCAAAAATTTAATATGATAGTCAGTCGTATGGAATAAGATATATTTGGTTAATAGTAATGGATTTGGTACAGGGTAAAGGTTATCATAATAGGTATTAGGAACATACGAGAAAACATTAATTTAACATATTCGGTTATTGGAAGTAATACTTTGATTGGTTATACGGTAGTTCAAAAACATTACCAACGATGAATACATACATCGCTAACGCGACGTTACAACGCGCATTGTGCTTCTTGAAATGAAAATACAAATGAAGGTAAGTGACGTACTTGTTGACGTTAATACCGCATCCTTTCTAGTCCAGTAGCTTGAAAACGTCTCTAAAGCAGCGGTGAAGAGTTTCGGGGATATAACGTCACCCTGTCTTACGCCTCTCTGCAATGTACTATTAAATTAAGACAAAGCAAATATACAGCATTTGATAAACAAATTGTTGCAAAACTATAACACTTAAAGATGATATATTATTAAGAAAGTAGAGACATGCATATAAAACTTAGATATTAGAATATACATATTTATAGTACTGATCTATTACTTTTTTTACTATATTTAGGGAAGTAAATAAACTTTAACTCTGAAGAACTCCGTCCTGTAAAATGCTTAAGCCGTAGGTTTAGTGAAACTTGGTGTCACTATGTTCGAGGTTCGAGTAGCAAGCATGACAAATACTCGCTCTTGTAGCGTGTTATGTGTAGCGGTAGCTTTTTGGGCACATTACTCTATTTGTGGTAGAACCACGCTGACATTGTATATGCATTTTAATTCTTAATTGAGGAAAGATGTAGGTGTCTACTGTCTATGGGCCACAGCATCCATTTACGTGTGTGATCCCGTGACATCACCCTCACATGTTGTAAAAAGATCTATCTACCCTGACGCATATATTATTTTTACAACACATCACGACGTCCTATTGCCATTTATATGATATTTGGCTACACCAGTTCTTCTTCTCGAACCGGTCTAGTATCCGCAACCTCACATCGAAGCAGTTATTTTGCGTGTAAAACAATATTGCATAGACAACAAAAAAAATAAATGTTTATAACTTTTATTTTTTGTTCAAATGGATGGATCTTTATGAGGCGTAATGTTGTTTGCATTTTGCATACTTTAGTATACACAAACGTAAGTCGGCTTCGATCATAAATTAATCGGCATTTGCTTTTTTGGATATGTACTTGTGTAGCCACGGATGGTTGAATGGGTATGTTACACTTTTATATATATCATTGAAATAGTAATATTGTATAGTAAAATTTTTTCTGTGATGTTTTGTGATATTTTTAAAATAAAGAGGAGGGAGTACAAACTAAAGAAGTGTTATTTTTCATAATATTTGCATTAGGTTGGTCAAGAACTAAGGAAATGTAATAGCACTGCAGAGCAATGCTGAAGGAGTAATTCGTTAAGGATACCCAAGTAGCATTCTCTGCATCTCAGCCTAAACAATAAAAACTGTCAGTCGTAGGACTACACGTCGGAAGTGAAAACTTCTTAGCTTTACAAACTTGTAAACAATATTTTTGGGTTGTTAAGAAATAAATTTTTAGGAAGTATTGAAGTTATACTTCTTTTGGGGCGTTTGGGAAATATAATGAGAGTGGATATTTTACGATGCGCGCGCACACCGACACCTAAAAACGACACCGTGAAGTTGTTACAATGCGCGCGCACACAGACACCTCAAAGCGACATCTTCAGTGGGTAACTGTCTCTCAAGTTTTCGTGGGAACTGACATGACTGATAACTATGTTTAAGTATGTAGTTATTTTTAATTATTTTTGTTTTGTTACGCTAAAGAAATATAACTTATTACGTGCGTACATAATACACACACACACGTTTTTTTTATTACAAATTATTTTTGTCAACGTCTTAATATAGTAATAAATGTTTCACTTAATGCACTGTTTTTTTTTTCATGAAAAAGAATGATACCATAATACAAACAAATTTATAAATACATATCAATTTTATAAAATTTTATCAATGGCATTTTCAACCTTATTTGCACCAATTTTATGTATCTGAGCGTGACGGTCACTCGAGTTCAGTGCTTTTTCCACCTCCCAAAAGTGCCCAATGTACCTAAAGAAGTTTTCACTTTAAAAAGCATAGTTTAGTTGAATTTAATAGATATAACTAATATTGAGGAACATTTTATTATTTTCTCAGAATCTCCCAATAACAGTTTATACTAAATCAAAAAAAGTTAAAAATTTAACTCCCATTCCACTGTATGTGATGGTGAAAGCTGAAGTAGGTTGCTGGCTACAATTAGGTGAAGCCGATTGTGGGTGGTTAAACTTGGTGTAATGGAGGGGTGCACAAGTTGCGGCACCAGGGCGCTAGACTTTCGTGCGGCTACTTATAATGGAATTATTCATGGTTTGGCATTCTAGTTAAGTCCAAATTATAATTAAAATGACTATTAACTTTGTCAAAAATAGCACCTATCAATATCAGCGACCAGTTAGTTAAGGTGCGGTTGGGGTAACTTGCGGACTTTTTATGTTATTTATAAATTATTCGGACAAGAATACACCTAAGTTTAACCAACCGCAATGGGTTGCACCTAGTTCTAGCTAGTTTTGCCTAGAGGTCTAAACGCACTTCAGTTTGTAGCTGTGGTAATATCAAGTTTTCTCGTTATGTCCTGTATAAATTTAGTCTTTTAATAAGCGTTTACCATTCTATGTTTAGTAATAAGAAAGCATTGAACATTTAACTTTAAACTTTACCCACTATACTGTATATTCATTTATATTTTTATTTTTTTATTCTAAACATTTTAACATATTCAAATTCGAATTTATCAAAGAAGCTATGTTAATTAGAATAAAACAGTTACACATAAATTTTTTTAATTACTGATGTGATTGTTAATTCTCTGTAATTTTTAAGTTGTTATCTAGTTAAATGAAATATAAAAGCTCTTAATAAAGGTTTAAAACATAATCACATGTTGTGGAGTCATGATGTTATCGCATAACTGTAGATTTCTTTATTTTTTTAATTGGTCTAATCTGAAATTACACGACTATTATTAATAGGGCTTACTAGAACTGTTCAGCTCTACATCTGGCAGTGAATTGAGTCGTGTTAGTATCAAAACTCTTAAAATTAATTTATTTTATTTTACTTATATTATCGTGTAGTAGTGGTGTAAGAACATCCACTACCCCGTAACATCCCGTGAGTATCGTAAGGGGCGACAGTAGGGAAACAAAGGAGATGGATAGCAGCATCTTCCTAATAATGACTAAAAAAACTGTTGTTGTCAAACCGCAAGCATGGCAGCTATGGCAAATTTCCCCCCCTATATAAGGGGGAGGCCTATGTTCAGCAGTGGTCTTTATAGGCTGTAATGGATGGATGTATAGAAGATAATCTACCAGGAGTACATGACCCACTGAGAGGTGAAATTATTAAATCAACATTACAACTATGACAAAATATCGTCCATGAGGCAATCTGAGGGAGGCGTATTGTTCAGCAGTGGACTTTATAGGCTGTAATGGATGGATGTATAGAAGATAATCTACCAGGAGCACATGACCCACTGAGAGGTGAAATTATTAAATCAACATTACAACTATGACAAAATATCGTCCATGAGGCAATCTGAGGGAGGCGTATTGTTCAGCAGTGGTCTTTATAGGCTGTAATGGATGGATGTATAGAAGATAATCTACCAGGAGCACATGACCCACTGAGAGGTGAAATTATTAATTTAACATTACAACTATGACAAAATATCCTCTATTAGGCAATCTAAGGAGGAGGACTTTGTTCAGCAGTGGAATTTAATAGGATGTAATGGTAATACATATATTTAAATTAGGAACTTATTACTTATACTTTTTTATTATTTATTTATTCTATGGATGAGGAGCTTGGATATCTTCAAGGATAACTGGTTCAAATGCTTGTTTTATTCTTGTTCAGAGTGACGATTAATTCTGTCTATTATAAACCTTTTTATAGGTATATTTCTGTACATACCATAATAATATACAATATTCAATAATCCCTCTCCCCGCGGTATAGTGCCTAGAACACTGGCTGAAATTCCTCGCTGAATGCCTATACTTCGACTTTGGGCGAGAAAAGATGCAGCCCTCTTGTCTCCAGCAGCTATTACGGTCAGTCGAGGATCAGGGGCGTAGCTACCGCCGTATCAGCCGTATCAATGATACGGGGCCCCCGGGCTACAGAGGCCCCGAACATACGTTCGTAAGCAAACATTCTAAGGACTTCTATGGGACAGGACGTTGTTTTGAATTGTTTGGCTAAATTAGTTCCTAGGAGTTTTAATTATAAGTACTAACTTATAATCGATATATAATTATTTTAATTTAATGCGAGAGTTTTTGTTCCTTTTGTGAAAAATCGTTACCCTTCATTTGGGCCCCCCGACAAATTTTGATACAGGGCTCTAAGGCACGCTACTTCACTGTCGAGGATACAGTTCTTTTAGAAACTGCGCGTGGTCCCCACGTGTCGATAGTCTTTACAGCGAATGGCTCAAATATATAATCTGTCAGAGACTCGCATTTGCGCCATTTTATTAGTTCCGGTTCTAATCGAGGTGGAGAGAAACGGCTGACTAAGAGGTTAGAACGTAAGTTGCCAACCCTCCTGCTAAGCATGGCAACTATGGCAAATATCCCCCCTCGGATTGGGGGCGACGAAATTTAGTCCAGTTTAATCCTCAGAAGACACAAGTTTGCGCGTTTACCGCTAAAAAGAACCCCTTTGTCGTATCTCCCCAGGTTCAAAGCACTCCCCTTCTTGCCTCAACCAGTATCGGAATCCTCGGAGTCGACATATCGAGTGACGTGCAGTTTCGTGGTCACTTGGAAGAGAAGGCCAAATTGGCCTCTAAAAAGCTTGGCGTGCTCAGCAGAGCGGGACAGTATTTCATGCCGACACACCGCCTGCAACTTTAAAAGGCACAGGTTCGGCCTCACATAGAATACTGTTCCCATCTCTGGGCAG